TAGTAATACTATCGTTTGTTTTTCATAAATGTATCTTTTGAGAAGTAAAATTGAATCTGTATTTCTGTTTTTCGATTTCAAAAAGAATCAGGGAAAAGATTCTCAAGGATTACTAAGAAATTCAGAATATTAATGATTGTGCTTTGTAATTGAAGTTTCGGAACGTATATAATTATATAGAGATTTTACGATAATATTAATTCAAAATAATATTATTTAATATTATAATATTAATTCGAAAATATTAATTCAAAATAATAAAAATTTATATTAATTGGAAAAATGCAAAACTATTTATTTCAAAATAATATTTATTGCTTATAAGCTAAACAATCGAAAGGAAATAATATTAGCTAAGTTAGTTTTTTTTTTCACAATTTCGTTTATCTACAAAAGAAGGCAATCATCGTTGTGAAGGATGCCAACTATAGAGGGGTGATCCATGATGGCATGGATCATCGTTATCATCGAACATGAAATTGTCCCTCTCCTGAATTTGAGGAAAAGGGTTGATGATTGAAAATTTTCAAAAAATCTAACACATCACAATTTCACCATCACGCTTTTTGTTTTGCAAAAGCAGAAGTGAAAACTGAATAAATTTAATGAAATTTAAAAGAAAAAATTATCGGAATTATATTTTGGTATTTCTTGAAAAAACCGATGAACATATTTGAATTTTGATTTTGTTAAACTTTATGGCTAAGATTATCGGATTCGCTTTTTATGTATTCCTTTTTTTGGGCTTACTCTTTCATCTTGGCCTGATTTCAGGTTATTTCTTCCCCACTAATTAATTGAATAGCTAAAGCACTGAAATATTTCCTGCGTTTAGCTGTAATAACAGGAAATAAATTTGTTATGCTTTGATCAGAACTCATCGATCAGAAATCACTTGTGATGAGACATTCCAAACTGTTAATCAGCTTTATTTTAAGCCCAATCAAGCAATTACTGAGGATGAGGCCTTACAAAATGCAAAAATAATGTACGCATCAAAATATCTGAAGCAAAATGAATTAAACAATAATTGTTTCAATTCATTTTTACCCATGAAATCAATAAGAATCGTGAGGTTTGCGTACAAATAACTTTCTTCTTTTTTTTTCTACTTGAAAGATTATTGAAAATATGAAATGTGTAATATGATAATTAAATATCATAACACAGAATCACTATCATAATATTAATTAAGATAAGAAGCATTTTTATCCCTTATTATAATAAGAAATTTTCTCAAACTTCTCATTAGATACTTACATCCATCAGATTAACGTCAAACGAATTACATAATCAAAAATATCGATGATCGCCAATTTGTCGTGTATTTACATATCGCAAATTCGAACACTCATTGTATTGCAGATAGAAAAATATGCTTGAAATTCTGCTAAATTTGCGAAATAAACGAGAAGTTATGAAACATTGCTTCATGTGTATTTTCAAGACGTCCCTACGGCAGAATGATTTGTTACAATTTTCGCATCAACATTTAGGTTGATTTGGTTGATGTTTTCTACTCTTGTGACAGTTAAATGATGTGCCATAAATGAACTTTTTTCCACAATTCGGTTCTTTGCATTCGTAAATAAATGGTTCGTCATGCGTTTTCCTATGTTCTACATATTCTTTGCAACTGTTCGTGCGCAAAGTATACCCGACATAAGGACACTCATAAATTTCCTTTTCTGAAAAACTCTTATAATATCGGGTGATCATGAAAGATCGGATATACAGTCTGATTTTTGGCAGGAATTAATTTTAAAAAAATAGTCAATTCTGTCAATAATTACTATTGTTATAATATATGGGTTAGTAAAGAGAATGAAAACAAAATAGATCAGAAAACCAATGTTAAGATGAGACTATAAATTGGCATTTGCTGCGACGTAGCACTGAAAATGCCGCGTAACTTCTGACGCTTACGCATTTTTCGTGTATTTCTCAAAGTATGCCTTAATTGCGGACGTACTACAGTTAGGTCTAGAACGAATATTTCTAAATGCTGCCTCACTG